CTTACGCGTTGCTTGCATGTCCGTCCGCTGAACACGTTGGAATCGCAGCTCCAACGCGCGACTTCGAATCCCCAAAAAAGAAGCAGTGGGCCTCGCTTTGGAAGCTTGCGCCAGGCGATTCATGAACTTGAAGCACGGCAACTCGGGGCACCCTCCATAGCTCTGTCTGGGTGTGCCCAACAAAAAACATTTATCCGCTCAGATCGGCAGGTGAATTCAAGGGAGCTCCCGTATCCGGTCGTGGCTCGTCCCCATGCAATCTCTCGTCTACCTAAAGCTGATCTATGTAGCACCAAGCCTGACTTTAGGCTGTCAAGAAAGGCACAAAGCCCAGCCGGCCTGCGGAGCTGCCAAATCGAAATACTTGTGGGGTGAACTCTGGTCAGACTTCGCCCGAATGCGTCCATGTGTGGAGGCTGGGGGCTTTGGGAAGCTCTGGTGGCTCTTGGCTGGCAGCCTTGGCGTCTGCCAGGTATGTTGAACAGCCAGCGGCCTCAGCAAAATTACTCTGGGCTCACAACACTACGGTTGCCACAGCAAGAATGCTGCAAATTCAGTAGTGTCAAAGACTGCAAAGCGGCTCGTCTCCCACCAACCATATTCATATTGCCACAGGCCGTGAAACGCCTGTGGACAAGGGCAGATTTCAAGCAAAGCGTTTTGGCTGTCAAACTTGCTAGCACAAGTTTGCTGGCACCATGAATGGAGCTAACGTGTGCCAGCCTGATTCCAAGGCACGCTTCATCTGAGACCGGTTGACTAAATGACTCAGCAAGTTGCTGTGAGCGCGTTTCTGCGCTGGCACAAACAAGTTTCGTTGCCTTGGCTCCAGAACTCTAAACTTTGCGTTGCCATTGTAAGGGTGCTTCAATTGGCTGCGTGATGAATCAACAGTGTCAGCAGGGGCTCACAGCAGGCTCACAGCACTATGGTTGCCACAGCAATGATGCTGCATATTCAGTAGTCAAAGACTGCAAATGCGGTTTGTCTCCCACGAACCATATTCGTGTTGCCACAGGACGTGAAACGCCGCTGGACAAGGGCAGATTTCAAGCAAAGCGGTTTCGCTGCCAAACTTGCTAGCACAAGTTTGCCGGCACCATAAATGGAGCTAACGTGTGCCAGCCTGATTCCAAGGCACGCTTCATTTGAAACAGGTTGCAAGCGCGAATCAAGCGGGAACATCCTAAAGCGTTCTTGACTGTCTGCGATCGAACCACCAACAAGTTGCACTCTCTTGGCCCCGGAACAGTCAACCTGGCATTGCCATTGAGAGGGTGCCAGCCGGGGTTCATTGACCTATTGCCATAAACAAATCTAACAGTTCAATCATGAAAAGTGGGAGCGCAGTTTCAGCAGCACATTCGACACTGCAGCACGCCCTGGCTTTGGGACAGTCTTTACAACTTTGGTTGGACAAAGGAGCCTATACTGTAAGGCAAGGACGCAGCAAGCTTCATGGCCGAATCCCAGGAAAAGCTTCACGGCGTTCGGCAATAGCGGGCAGGGATGCTTGTTTGGTCAAATTCTGGCAGTGTCGGGCACAAACAGCATCACTTCGCAGTGTGCCACGCAATCAATCTATTGAACACGTAAGCTCGTGGTGCGAATGCCCGCTCCAACACTAATGCGCCACATGCTTGGCTAAGGCGCGTGTTTGCCTAGTTGGCGGAAAAAGCACAACTCCAGCACAATGCAAATGGACAAGAATCTGCCTTCCCTCATACGTGGCTCCGCCGCACGCAAGCAGATTGCACACCTACGCTCATTGCCGATGTACGTGTCAAAATATCCCGGGCTCCGCATAAAATGTACCCTGAGACTCCAAATTGCCAAAGGCCCGGCTTAACTCAGCCGAAAGCAGCACTACAAGCGGTAGAGATTCTTTGGGCTCGGGTTGCGTGCCATGGAAAGACCGAATGGGGACCGCGAGCCCAGTTTTACACTCGGCCTAGCCCTGGCGCTCACATCGCGAGCGAGGAGCGAGCTCGCGCCGCATCCAGAGCTGGCTTGTGCCGACGAGCTTGACCTCGCGGACTTCATGCAATTTGAGCACTGATGCTTGACATGGGCAGGTGGTCGCTTGACTGAAGCAGCACATGCTTATCTGCAACTGCGAGCTCGTTGCCTTGGCTCCATCTAACCCTAGCATTGCCATTATGAGGGTGCTTCAACTGGCAGCGTGATGAATCAACAGTGTCAGCAGGGGCTCACAGCACTACTCTTGCCAGTGACAAAATCTAACAGTTCAATTATGAAAAGTGGGAGCGCAGTCTTAGCAGCACATTCAACTCTTCTGACGCGTGCTGTGGCCGCCTCGCAAACGATGGAACGGCTCACTCTCACGTCGCTGACTTGTGACTGGCTCGAAAGGTAACAGAAACCCACTGAAATGATTAAGACACCTGGTACCAAACAGTTTCAAGCTTGGACACGGAGACATCCCCAAGTCGGACAGCAAGCAGGCAGGCAAGGTGGCTCAGGCTCCAGCACTGCATCAGGATCTTGCTTGGCTTACGAAGAAAAGCATAATAACTTGCACCTACTCGGTTGCCTGTAGGAGTGCAGTGTTCTGTTTGTTCACCTTTTTGAGAGCAAGAAATAGCCAGAAGACAGGAGTCAGGGGGAATGGGATGTGAGCAGGCCAGCCCAGACCTTGAAGCGGCAAGCTAATGTACGGATGGAAATGGCCGGTCGCTAGTTTGCACAAAAACAAAGACAACATGACAGTTCTAGCTGCTTTGTTGGAGAGCTCTTGGTAGCCCCCCATTCTGATTCATGATGGAGCCAGTGTCCCGGGCTTTCTGCTTCCGAGCGCACTGAAGAACAATGGCCGGTTGGCTCAAAATAACTGCACTGCCCTGCATCCGGAATCTGGCAAGCACAAGTTCAGCAAACTAGTACGACTGTTCACACAAAGCTGCATCTTGAATTGGGAACCCAATTACAGCTCAGGGTTAATCGGGTGTTGGAGTTTTGCCAAATGACCGCAAGTCGTCAAACATGACATGTGCGCAATCTTCTGCTTCGGGGACGCAGTGCCGCCAAGTCCGCGGAAAGCGTCAAGCCGGGAGGGTCACAGGCGACACATCTGCGTCACAAACTTAGGGCATGTGAAGCACCCACCACTCCAGCATGCCGCAACTCCACCTACAGCTAGCTGTGCATCTGAAGCACCCATTGCTCCAGCATGCCATAACCCACCTAAGAATTGTGTGCGGGATAGACCATAGAGGATAGACCATAGATCCCGGCCAGATCTCATTGAATGCAAGGAGCCTTGATGCTTCTACATGTTGACAGGTGCAGCGAAAACAAGGGTGGCAACTGCTGTTCAGGACAGAGCCCAGCCGCTAAGCATTGCTCCGGGTACTGGCAACAGCGGTCAGTCCGGGGGAGACACAGCCGGGCCTGGAGTATCTCGACCACAATTTGGTAGATCAAAAGAACTGGTCTCGCATCACTATTCTTTCACATATGGATCGAGCTACGCTTTGATGGCCTGGCCTGCGCATGACAACACAGTTCCCAGGCCGATAAAAAGAACCTTTGGGCCAACCACTCTGCACATGCCACTGTGAACGAAAAGCACCAAGAACGGCAACCTCGGCTGACTGGGTGATTGAGAAACATGTCGATCAGATCAATCATGTCTCATGTGGATGGATGGCACGCTTATCAATTGCAGGTTAAACTACAGGCAAACGACCTCCAAGACGCTGCAGCCAAATACATGTTAAATATGACATCAGCATTCAACACATCCATACAAATACAACCTGGCAACTAATCATCATACAATCATATCCTATCGCTGTTGGAGACGTTGCCTCATTTGTGTGAATCATCGTATAGATCAATTTAGCGCGACTACCAATGACTTCAAGTTGACCTGGATCATCAGGAGTCATACGTGTCATTCGCAAACGCAAACCAAACAATCAATTGCAAAACAAAACACACGCACACACGCACCCGCACACGCGCACACACACACACATACACCCACCCACCCACCCACCCACCCACCCACGCACGCACGCACGCACGCCTGCCCGCCCGCCCGCCCGCCCGGCCTCTCGCCCGAACGCACGCACGCCCGGCACGCCGCACGCACGCACGCACGCACACAGAGGCACACGCACACACACACACACAAACGCACACACACACACACATATATTTTTATATACACACACCCACACCCACACCCACACCCACACCCACACACACACACACCGTTTGCTGCTTATACATCCAGCCCATTCCTTTTGACACTTGCTGTCTCACAATTCATGATCTACATACTGATTAGCAATAAAACATGTCTCACACCTCTTACAGCAACAGCGCTTCATTGGTTTGGACACTCACCTTCTAGTGAGTTTACGGCATGTGCGAGTGTGTCTGAGAATCGCGAAAATCGGCTGGCACAAATCTACTGCATCTCCAGGTTATGTATGCCATGTGTCTAACATACTAGCACATATCCAGCATGCGTTTGAGTCATGCACAAAGCACTTCTTCAAATAGAAAGCTGGCATAGGCCCAGTCGTGCAACAAGTGAACACAAGGCTCAACATCTTATGCATCTAGCTTGTGTCTCAAGCATTCCTAGCAAACGTCTACCACGTCTATGTCACTTCCATGTTTCATCCAATATTTCCAGGAAAGACCTTGCAAAGTGCTGGCATACGTCTGATTTGCTGCCGTATATGCGTTTGTGTACAACGTCTGGGCTTCCAGCCGTCATGTTGATTGGGATCTGTTGTCGAGGGTCCCATTGTGGGGTTGCCGAAAGGACACCACCCATGGGGTGCCCCTACTTTGTCTCATGTGCACACGCGCCTCGCCGGCCTTACAAAAAGGGCCCACGTCCTTTTAACTTGGGTGTCGTGGTCAAAAACCGGGTAACCCCAAACTGGCTTGCTCCGGATGGAAACATGGACTAAAACCTGCGGTCCAATTCCTGCCGGAAAAGTTGGACCCATGCCAAAATG